AGCACAGAAGATCAACATCATCAGGCCAGGACTCTGCAGTCTACACTCATCTCCAGGTCAGAGGTCACTCTTTCAGGGATGAAGATGTTCACATCCTGGACAGAGAGGAACGATGGTTTGAGAGAGGAGTAAAGGAGGCCATCTTTGTGAAAAGAAACCGTCCATCATTAAACAGGGGTGGAGCCTCCAGGTTCAACTGTCCCCCTCTTACAATGCTGTGATTGCTAGTATCACTCAGCCCTCTGTGAACAGTAAACAGCCATCAGGGGGCTAATGATCCATTGTTAGGCTGATGGTCCTTCTTGAGCATGTGATCAGCTGGTTCTGGTTGTCAGCAGCAAAACTGGTTGATCCACTCTGAGAAGGTGCTATTTAAGAGACTGAGCTGAATACAGCTCCTCAGACTGAGGAAGTCTTCTGGATGAAAGACGAAACGTTTCAACAAGAAAAGGAGTTGATGGGGGAGAGGGCGGGCTCTAGAACCCATCTTATCACCAGCAAACTGTTTTATTTCCACTATGGGAGTGTGGAGCTAGTGGGATTAGTTTGTGGCCTCCTCAGACTGAAGAAGTCCTTCGGATGAGGGACGAAACGTCTCAGAAAAACAAAAAGAAATCGTCCGGATGACCTGACTGAACCTTGTTAGATAACTGACTCCAACTCCAACATTCTTTGAGATATTGAGCTGAAATGTGGTTTGTTGGTAGCTGAGCTGAACCCAACACATCGTACGGTCAAATCAAAATTTAAAACAGCCGTAACGAGGCAGTCCCCGTCAGAGTTGCTTCAGGAACCTCCTAGTTTGAGTTTTTCTTCTTCAGGTTCTGATGATGAGCCGTCGTCTCGCTTCTCTCTCATGTCCAGGAGTTCTGCTGTGACTGATGAAAGTGCAGTTTGTGAGGAACATGTTTGCTAACCTTCTAGCAGTCTTCATTCAGGGTTTAGGTTCTGAGAAGAAGCGTGGCTCGTTTCTTAGAACTGAGCTTCCAGGAAATAGCCACAGCCCTACGTCTAAGCTGCAGATTTTATGAAATGATACAAACTGTGGTGGCTGCATGATTGATGCCTAATGTGATTTGTCTTTGATGCTGAAGGTGAAGGTTTGAGTTCACCTTTACCTGCACTGCACCTGCAGGGTGGGACTCTGCTTCTGATGTTTGTGTGTGCACGTGTTCACTGCAGGGTTCAGGCTGTTCGCTCCACAAATCAGAGAAGGTTCATCCAACCTGAGTGCAGCAGCATGGAGAACATCAGGTCCTGGAGGACTGAGAATCTCCACCAGCTCAAGGTTGGTAGTTAGAAACCAAAGCTTTCAGGCCACGTCTGCGTGATGACCTTCAGCCAGGCTGTGGTTTTTCTGCACGCCTTCACTGTGGTAGTCGGTCCGAAGAGCAACGATGAAACATAAAAACAGGAAACGCTGTGTGGAACTAAAGGGCCGGCTCGGGTTTCCTGAGCTATCCCTTAGTCATGCTGCTATAGGCGTAGACTGCTGCAGGGCAGAGTGGCGTCGATCACCGGTGCAGCGCACATCGTTAACATTTGGTCTTTGTGGGAAAACTACAGGAACCACACGTGTTCTGCTTTTATTTGGTGTAACTGTATATTTATTAACTTCTGCATGATGAGCGTGACGGAGGAAGAAGAGTGACGCTCTCTCCACGACATTCATTTAATTTAATTAACTCTCGTTAACGTGGAGCACCAGCTGATCAGTTTTCTGACCAACGACAACTTCATTAACATTTTCACCCGTTAAAGATCAGTGAAGGAGAATCTGTTCATCACAGGCAGTTCTGGACCAGAACAATATCCATCTGGATGAAGAGACCAGTTGTCTTTGACGTTTTATTACAAAAATAATCAAACTAAGAATCAACAACAATAAGAAACAACAGAAGAGATAAAAGATAATAATTTGTAGAATCACTGGTTTTAAAAGTAGCGACTCAATAATGAACAGTTAATTAATAATTAATTAAATTGTTAAATTAGATCAATTAATTAATCAGTTAATGATTAATTATTTTATTCAAGACTAAATTAACTATTTGAGCAGGAATTATTTCAGTTTTATGCATAAATACATACAAAATTAGAGTATTTTAATACAGTTTACTTTGGTTAACAGAAGTTAATGAATGTGATCGGATCAAGTCACTTTTTATCACTGCATGACAGGAAGTGATTGATCAAGTTGCATCATGTCACCAGGTTCTGCTCCTTACCGGGTCAGCGTTGAAGGCCTCAGGTCACTCGTCTTTCTGGGGTTCTCTGCTGGATCAGACCATGAGGAGGACTCTCCAGGAACTGTCCAAGGCAGCTGGACTCCACTGGGACCACTTCAGGGGTCAGTGAGGACGACAGCTGACGAGAAGGTGCCGTCCATCACAACCTGCAGTCGACGTGCACTTCAAGCTGAGAGCGAGCGTTGCAGTGAGAAAATGCTTCATCTTCTGTCGTTATTTAAACTTTTATTTTCTTCTAACGAAACCGAACTTGAGCAACACGTTTGTTTGTTTAGAAATAAACGAGGAGCGGACCTCGGACTACATCAGGTCCAGGAGTCCAGGACGAACTGTGATGTCACAGAGACTTCGTGCAAAGCAACATCTCTCAGGAACATTGTGACTTCTCCAAACATCTCCAGCTCCAAGAGCCAACAGCAGGAGACTCTGAAGGATAAGCACTTTCTGAAGCACACGACAAACACATATGTTCAACACATTATAATATTTCACATTCAGTCATGAGGAATGAAAATAATAATCATGTTCACACGTGTTTTAATCAAATAAAAACAAACTTCATCAATGATTTCTTTCTTAGAAACAGGAAGAACAAGATAAACATCAGTCAGAGCTGAATAACGTGTCAGAAGAAAAGCGTTCATGGTGAGTGAGGAAGATGACCCAGGGGTCAGAGGTCATAGTCAGAGGAGCGTGCTACACTTCTCACAAAGGTTACATTATTCTTCCTTCACAAAAAACTACAAGAAATATATTTCTGGTATTTTCTTCCTCTTAAAAATCCAGAAAATACATTTTCTTTTAGTTTTTCATCAAATACACTGGAAGACATATTTTAGGTGTGTGTGTGTTTTAAAATAGTTACAGAGCGCTTACCTTAAATATCATGTGTGTCTGTGTTCAGAGTGTTTAGAGATAAAGATGAATCACTTGTTTTATCAAAATAGAAGAAATTCATCTGATGGTTGATGTCTGGTCTAACTGGTTCATGTTTAATCTAAATAGATCCCAGAACAACAGACCAGTTATCAAAGAACGCAGAACATTTCCTGACTGAGAGACATAAACCTGGACTGAACTTTTCGTCACGCACTCGTCCTCCACAGGCTGCGTGAAGCTTCCTGTGTCGTCTGCCTCCGATTTATAAAATCTGATTCAAAGACGTCTTTTATTTCAACTGTTTCTGTGTTCAGACAACTTGAAGCAGCAAAATCCACCACGCTGTCCCCTCAAACCTGTCATTCTGTCTGTTTCTACTTCCTGTCCCCTCAAACCTGTCATTCTGTGTCTGTTTCTACTTCCTGTCCCCTCAAACCTGTCATTCTGTGTCTGTTTCTACTTCCTGTCCCCTCAAACCTGTCATTCTGTGTCTGTTTCTACTTCCTGTCCCCTCAAACCTGTCATTCTGTTTCTACTTCCTGTCCCCTCAAACCTGTCACTCTGTTTCTACTTCCTGTCCCCTCAAACCTGTCACTCTGTGTCTGTTTCTACTTCCTGTCCCCTCAAACCTGTCACTCTGTGTCTGTTTCTACTTCCTGTCCCCTCAAACCTGTCATTCTGTGTCTCCTTCTACTTCCTGTCCCCTCAAACCTGTCATTCTGTGTCTCCTTCTACTTCCTGTCCCCTCAAACCCATCTGATGTCCGCTCATCCTGAGCCTGGTTCTGTTTGAGGGTTCTTCCTGTTAAAGGGAGTTTTTTCTTCCCACTGTCTCCTTTGTTCTTGCTCAGGATGAAAGACTGAGACGAAGTGTAGAGTCGACACAACCTGCTGCTTCTTTAGATACAGAACTTTTACTGACGGTCTTTTATAAAGTCTGTGAATGTTTAGAGCTCTGAGACGACTTCTGTTGGGACTTGGAGCTACAGAAACAGATTACTGGGAAAAACAATTCTTTGTGGCTTTTCCACAAAACTTGATGTTTGTTTCACCTGTACAGTCCACAAAGTTAACATTTGAGGAAAAACTATAGGAAACATATATTTTCTGGTATTTTCTTCCTCTGTTAAAAATACCAGGAATTATATTTTCTTTTAGTTTTTCAGGAAATATACTGGAAGATATAATTAATGATATTTTTAGCAAAGGAAGGAAATGCTGGATAATAAATTTTAAGTGTTTTCAGATTGAGCCACGTTAGAAATGAATCTGTAAGTGAAGCTCAGATGTCCCAGCTTCTCAGGGGCCATGAACGCAGCATGACCTTTGTGAATCTGAAGGTGAGAGTCTCTCAACTGCTCATCCGTGCGCTCGAGTTGATGCAGGTGTGCATATATTTGTGTATCTTGTAGTACACATTCGTAAAAATTGTTGTGTTGAGACCGATTTAACTTAGAAAGACCGACCGCCCCCACAGACCTGTAGCCTCCATGTTTAAACTAACCATGGGCAGTTATTGCTCACCTGGTTGAACACTTCTTTCCAACAGGTGAATGGATGAACATGTGAATGGATGAACATGTGAGATGAGTCATGTGATCAGAGAATGGGGGAAACACCTCAAGGACCAAGAACCAAACTGAAACTTTAAACTTAAAGTATTTCTAGATTTAACAGTTTGTCTTTAACGTTCAGGAATATTTCAGGTCTTTTTGTATCAACTTGTAAAAGTTCTCAGTGGAAAACTAATTTCCTTTTCATTTCACATGAACGAGCCGAATGAAATCCAACGTTGATATTTTCTGCAGCTCAAGGCTGGTTCTCCTCTTCAGACAGTAAATCGTGGAGGTCGAGGGCTTTTCAGTCACAATCTTCACAATTTGCTCTCAAAGGTCACATCTTTGTCTTGAATGGGTCCGTTCAGGTTCGGAGGCAGAGCTTCTTCGGTCTCCTCTACTGGAACGAAAATAAGTTCAGACAGAAAACATTAAGTTAGCTTGAAATTAGAACGAGTTTAAAAAAAAGAAAGCTGCAGTTGGTTAAACATTTGTGATCAGACTGAATTCAGGTTTGTGAGAAACCAGTGGAGGTTTTATCCTGTCTGAAGCCAGACACAAGCTGACGATACGCTGACGATACGCTGACGATACGCTGATAGATAGATGGATGGATGGATGGATGGATGGATGGATGGATGGATGGATGGATGGATGGATGGATGGATAAGAGATGGATGGATTTGTAAAAGAACAGTCTTCCACAGCTTTTTCCGTGTTTCCACTCTGAATGAATGAGAATTTTCTCCTATTGCTTCACTTGTGCCTCATCCAATATGGCGGCTATGTGGACCTATAATTCAGCACACAATGAGGCATCTACGTATATATGTCTATGTATGCTACAGTGTTAACACAAAGGAATACACCACTGATACATGGCTCCAATGAGACTAACGAACGATGAATATAATATATATGAATATAAAATTATTACCGTGGCAGCGCTGACAGTTAGCATCACGTAGCGTAACGTCTGTTATTATATGTGACGTAGATATGACCTTTCAGAGTTCATGCTAGAGAATTTTACAGAGAATGTGTTGGATGTTGAAGATGTTTCAACTAAACTCTCTTTAAAAGTTGTTAGTTTTTACTTCATGTAGTTTTTGGTTGGGCTCTTGTTTCTGGCTCTGAAACTCACCTGAAACATCTGGACAGCTGTTGAGCTTCAGCACTCTGAGGCTGGAGGGTTTTAAATTTGGTTTACATCCTATCCAAACCTGAACCAGCGTACCATGGACCACATATGTGTTTAGCCAGGATATAACCTCCACCAGATGATCCACCATGGTGTGTGCTGACCTTTGACCTGCCGGGTCAGGAGGCGTGGTCCAGACAGTCCGATACCCAGAGCGCCAATGGGAGCTGTGGTCAGGATGGCGAGCACGGCTAACGTTAGCACGTCCAGACCAAACCTGATGAAGGCCTCGTCCCCCTCCTCCCTCGCCATGTCCAGCGCTTTGGACCCGATGGCAGCCTGAAGCAGAACGAGACACATCAAACGTTTGTGAAGAACGTTCTTCTGGTGAACGATGAACTCTGAGGCTCAGGGGTGTTCCAGGAAGGTGAGGGTAAGACTTCAGTGATTACCACCTGTTCAGGTGTTGCAGGCAGGTGCAGTCTTCTTTTATACGTTTAAATCATCTTTCAGGTGATTTACTCATGTTTTAATCACAACTCTGAGCATTTTTAAAATTTTTATTCCCGAAGAGGTTTCTGAGTCGTTTGTTGCTTTTACAGGAGATTTGGTGGTTTTTATACACTTTGACTTTCATGGTCTCTGGATGGAGTCTGGATGGGACTTTGTTTTCCAGGTTGGGATCAGGACCCTGTCATGGGTTATGACCCCCTCCAAACAGGGTCTGTGAGATGATTTCCAGTAACCAAACTGAAATTAGAAATGATCTGAATCTGCATATCTTAATTTAAAGATAAACCATAAAAGGATCAATTCAGTGGTGGTTGTTAAATTTGAGTTATTTAGTTCAAGCAGCTCACAAACCCTGCAGCTCTGCTTCAGGACCTGAAGTTGTGTTTGTTTGATCATGCTTTGGTGTGGAGGATAACTGAACTGAACCAACTTAAAGAGCACAATGTCAGGGCGGGAACTAAAGACCAGACTGAATATAACTGGACTGCAACGAGGGAGATGACAAACACCTGGGGAGACGAGGAGGAGCAGGAAACACTGGGAGGACTGGACGGCGACAAGGTGAACACAAGAAACTCAAAAGATGAAAATACAACATAAACCATGAAGAGAATAAAACAGACACACACCGAGACGTGTTAGACGTGGACTTTCTAAAATAATTTTAGAATTTTAGTCTTTTTTTAATCATCACTGTTTTTGTTTATATGTTTGGTTAAAATATTTGGTTATGATTAATGAAACTTTATTGATGCTTCTCCTCACTTGATGCTGATGCTGCTCAGTATTCCAGGTAGGTAAATGTAACCAGGTGGAGTCAGGTCCTCTGGACGGATTCTTCTTGTTGAAACGTTTCGTCTTTTATCCAAAGGACTTCTTCAGTCTGAGGAGCTGCAACGATTAAAGGGCTCGACATTCTCCGTCCGAAGTGCAGAAATCGTCTCTCATTGTCGTAGTTGTGTGATGAAAATTGCGTCATTGTGTTTGTGGAGCAGCTCCACCCCTTTTTGACACAAGGCCTTGGTCAAACTTTTGCTTACAGGCATACACGCCAGGTATTGTGTGATTGGTCAGAAGTTTGTGGGCGTGTCCCTCAACGTGGAAATGCTCTCAGACATTCAGCTGCACGACTCTTCAAACACTAAACTAGTCAAATGGACAAAAACTCCTGGATGGAGGTCGTGCACACATCGTGTATGGAGGAGTCTGTCTTTCATAGATTTGTGGCCAAACTGCAGAGCAGGGACAAGTGGAGACTCTGGTGAGAAGAAACCTGCGTGGTGACATATACTGCAGGGGGCGGGGCTTCGCAGAAGCTCTGTGTCTCGTGGACGATGAAAGGTGTGTGCGACGACCAACATCCTGCAACCACGTGACCGCGGGTCGACTGCTCAGCTTCAGATGGAGGATGTCGAGTTCCTCAGTCTTATAAACAGAACCTTCTCATGGTGGATCAACCAGTTTGTTGTTGACAGCCAGAACTAGCTGTTCACATGCTGCCCTGATGGCTGCTTGCTAGTCACAGGAGGCTGAGTGATACTAGCAATAACAGCATTGTAAGAGGGGGACAGTTGAACCTGGAGGCTCCGCCCCTTTTTAATGATGGACGGTTTCTTTTCACAAAGATGGCCTCCTTTACTCCTCTCTCAAACCATCGTTCCTCTCTGTCCAGGATGTGCACATCTTCATCCCTGAAAGAGTGGCCGCTGGCCTGGAGATGAGTGTAGACCTCAGAGTCCTGGCCTGATGATGTTGATCTTCTGTGCTGGTCCATCCTTTTGGCCAGTGGCTGTTTTGTTTCCCCGATGTAAGACTGATCACCCTCCTGACACTGAACAGCATACACAACATTACTCTATGCCAGAGGACTGGATCTTTGAAAATATATTATGGCAAACACTGGTTCTTCCCAAAGTTCCAGTCATTTGGACACTAACTCAATAAACACTTATTCAGACGATGAAGGAGGACCATCACCCTAACTGGTTGTTAGGTTGATGGTCCTCCTTGATCATGTGAACAGCTGGTTCTGTATGTCAACAACAAACTGGTTGATCCACCATGAGAAGGTTCTGTTTATAAGACTGAGTCTGTTGCAGCTTTTTAATTTAATAACCTTTTTAATTTAATAACTGATTAATTCCTTTGGTCAAAGAGGTTTGAGGCTTCATCCTCTGGACCACTGGTGCTTCTGAACGTGACTGGATTAGTTACATTAAACATGCACAGACCTGCACGGTGGCTTTAGGCAGCCAGGCCACAGCGATGAAGACTTTCTCCTTCAGGTTGAATCCTCCAAAATGAACCAGCAGGAATGTGACGATGAGCCGGATCACCAGACCGATGATGATGCAGGCCATGCCCAGACCTGACCCACAGAGACACCAACGTGGTTACGTAGAAAATGTTCGAAAGGTACAGAAACAGCTGAAGGTGATCCTGAGGAGGGCCACACATATAAAATTCACTCTGCAAATGGGTCAAACCAATCCCAGTTCATGTTCTGGTTGATTCTTACCCACAGTGCTGGGACTGAGGGACGCTATGGTGATTTCAGCTCCAATCAGTCCAAACAGGAGGGGCTGGAACACATCCCAAGACCGACCCACCATAGCTGCCACCGCAGCCTGGAGAAAAAAGTCATTAAACCTAAAGTTGCAAACTGGTCAGACGGACCAACCGTCTTTAAACGGGCTGAGGTCAGAGGTCAAAGGAGCCTCTATGGGTGTTACCTTGTCACCCTTCCAAGTCAGAGCAGCCAGGAAAGATAACACCAATGTACAGAGACCACCAGCTCCAGCAAAACCAATGACATGACTGAAGAAGACTGAAAATATGGACAGACCCAACAACATGAGAGTCCTCCTCAACACCAGGTCCTCCTGCAGGAAGACAGAAGACCTTCAGAGACATTTAAACATCATCACATTTAAAGTTCAGAGGATAACAAACCTGGTCATTGCTTGGGAAAAGGCCCAGGAACAGACCCAGGATCAGTCCTGCCATGATTCCTCCCACCACCTCCATCAGACCTTTGAGGATGTTCATCCATGTAGAACCTGAAGAACACCACCGACTCAGCATGTGGAGAAGATCAGAGTGAAGATGAGCAGAAGAACATCTTACCTGTTGAAAAGGCAATTCCTAGGCAGGTAGAGAAACCTGTTATAGCTAAAATATCATCAAAACTTCCTGCAGCCATGAGCAGCGTCGGAATGCCCTGAGAGCAAGACAGAATAAGGTTGAAGGTTCAGAAGAACATCAGCAGCTCAGGACAAAAAGAACCTCTAAGTGTGTAGGGGGTTCTTCTGGGCTCTTGAACCAGTGGTGTTTATCTAACAGACATTTCAGAAATCCTCAGAAGTTTCTCCCGAGATTTTAGTTGGTTTTAATGGTTCATCAGGTTTCACAAAGTATTCCGTTAAGACCCAACAAAGGACCCTCGAAACACGGGAACAGATGGTTCCTCATGTTCCACCAGGTCTTAAAGCTTAAAGAGCTTCTACTTTTATTTAAGCAGGTTCATATGGTCCTTCAGGAAGTCTGAATGAGTAACTGGAACAGATGATCTGACTGAAAATTGTTGGATTGTAGACCTGGATTATTGAGCATGGACTTTTTTAGTAACTGGAACAGTTTAGATGTGATGAGGTTCTGTTTGTTAATGAACGTTTCTTAGAAGGTTCTAAAGGTTCTTCAAGTGGATGCAATCATTCTTACTGTAGTTCCATCCATCCATCCATCCATCCATCCATCCATCCATCCATCCATCC